ACGAATACGTGTGCGTATCGTAGAGAACTGCCCAGTGAACTACAGGAAGAAAAGGAGAAAACGGCGGGCGACATACGAGGGGCTATGCGTACGAGTGTGATGATGTTCTGAAACTCCGACACAACAGCCTGGCACTGCCCTCAGTGCTTCTCATTTTCTCGCTTTCTGCCTGCGGTTCATCAGGCAGCTCTTTGTGTTAATTTTAAAGTTTTAAAGTTTAAACTTTAAAGTTTAAGCCCATCTGCGCTTGCTCCTGGCAATGGATTACCGATCGAGTACAGAGTGGCAGCGGTCAGGGTCATCACTACATGGCCATGCAGTGCATCTAGTTCCAGGGGTGTGTGTCTAGGCCCTAGGGTGCATTTTCTCTGCTTCTTTTGGAGTTCAAACTCAGGATTCTGTATTTCAATTTTCAACACTTCAGGGGTGTGTACCATCTGGGGTGTGTTTTCTGTCTGAGGCATTCCTGTCTTTATTTTGTGGGGATTTTGCCAGCTTATGATGATGGGATGTGAACCTTTTCCTCTCTTCTGTTTTTTTTTTTATTATTATTATTGAAAAAGAACCACGCCTCCCCTACTTGCGAACGTGTGATTAGAGCAGCCCTTCCTAGGTACTGGCCCAGTTGCTCCTTCTATTGGTGGGGAGCTGCGCCTGCTGGAACATGGGTCCAGCGTCCCCAGTACACAGTTAACAAGGATGGGATGTGAACCTACAGTCTGTAGACTGTTCCATCTGGAGACGGTTGGAGATAGTCCGCTTTGGTTTTGCCAAACCACCAGTACACGGCTGCAGCGAACTTGACGAGAATCGCGGTCGATCAATCCAAAAAAGTTCCGATGAACAGTGCTACTGGACCAAAATGGCTGGCAGCACCAGACAAAACAAAACAAAACAAAACAAAACAAAACAAAAACGCGGCGCTGGCGTTTCCACAAATCTGGGCACAAAGGGTGGTTTGAGGCTCGTGACTCAGTTGTCGAGGTCGTTCAAGGGTCTAATTGCACTACTCGCCATCCGCAAACACTTAGTAGTTGAAATGCATCTGGGCTCAAATTTGGCCAGATGTATTTAAAATGTTGGCTGATGGCGAGTCGTGCAACTAGTAGACCCTTGAACCGCACACCGCAAATACACCGCCCAGGCAAAAGAAATTCATTGAAAACGACTCGTTCCGAAAAGATCGGGGGTCGGGACAGGGTCAAGGTCGGCAGAAAGATAATGTTCAAACCAGGGGAAAAAAAATATTAAAAAAATGCACCTGCAAAGAGAGGAATGACGTCCGGGAAGGGCTGTGAAGGACGTGTGCTCACACGAGTGCACACGGGAATGAACCTGCCTGCAACTGTGGCCACTATTAGCTTTCGTTGCTCTTGTTGTTGTTTTTTCCTTCTTTTGTTTTCTTTTTGTTGCCCTGCCACCGAGGCAGCGCGCACTGCACGGACGGCTGACACTTGGTCAAAAAGGGACATTCGATACCTAACGGCTTTCACGTACATATATTGTTGTTGCTTTTTTTTTTTTTTTTTTCACTTCTGAAAGTAACGTCCGTGATGACCGCGTAGCTGCAACGTCCTCACTGAGGGCATACTCTCATACTGACCCCAGATTCTGTATCCGACTGCTTTCTCGTCCTTAGGTTTGATGCATTTTTTGTTTTGTTGTTTCTTTTTTTTTTTTTTACGCTGTTCATTTCGGAGGACTACCAAAAAAGAAACTACAACGGGACCCAGGCTTTTTTTACGCAGTGAAATTCAGGTCCGTTTAAATCAGGTGCCGGTGTACTTGTGATTTATGGTGGATCGTCAATTATAGCATCATCTGTCAAGCACGATTCTGACGACTGTCGAGTTCTTTTTAAGGTGCATCATCACTTCCTCTTTTTTTTTCCTTCCTTTTTTTTTTTTGTTTTGTTTTTCAGAGACGATGCTCCAATCTATTCGTGGGGAGCAACACGGCTGGGAACCGGGCCCAGCATCCCTTATCAGAATACAAAAAATGAGCTACCGGGGCGCCATTACCCGGCTTCGGCTAAGAACAATTGAAGAAAAGGAAGAAACCTCAGAAACTTTCAGAAGATGTGTGCATCATCACTTCTCCTATCACCTAGGTGCATCATTACTTCTAGTATCAGCTGTTAGGCGACGACTCTGATAACTCCCAAGTGGTCAGCTTTCGGACAAATCGGTGAGACTCATGTCAAACAGTTCGACACAGCTCCCC